GCTACTCTTAGGTGGCACAAAAGTTCCATCTGTATCTGAAGATTGCGAACAACTAAGAAAAGCCTTTTCAGGTCTCTTCTTTTTCGATCTATATCATTTTCTTCTATCTCTATATAGTCAATGTTCTTTTATATTGATCTAACTCTATTGATTTGGATTTCTCATCGGATCAAACTTCCCGCTATGATCTATAGTGATTAACCTTTTCTGGGTTGATTTTGAAATTGAAAGTGGTTATCATTATACCCAAAAGCCTTTTTTGGGGTTGATCTTGGGAAGATCTGCCAAGGTCTATGAAGATTGTGTTGAAAACGACGGTGATCATCAAATGATAATAACCTCATATTGGTTAAACGAGTTGCTTGATCGTTGAAGACTGATGATCTGTTTTTGTTTATACTGTGGCTTATTAGTTGATCTATTTGTTCTGTTTTACCCTGTATTAGTCTTTTGATGTGCAAAAATAGACAAATGCATGGTGTTTGTGTGGAGCTGACCTTTTAGAGGTAAAACCCTGAAAATAGAAGTAAGAGCTGTTAAAGAGAAAGGTTGAGAATATTCTTAACATTTATATTTTGACGCTTAAGTTAGATATCAATCAAAAAAGAAAATAGAAAGGAAACTATAAGTATGAAAACAGAAAATGAATCAAATGATACGTAAAAGGTGTTATTTATACTTGTAAAGTGAGGGTTTTGGACAGGTTAGGTTGTCTAGGGTCAGCCATAGGTTTAAAGATGACTTGGTAGGCTAAGTTGAGTCGGATGTTGATCCTTCTGTTATGAAATAGCAAGTCAGTATTTAGGAGTGTTTAATGGATGGTTGATAAGATGGTCGAGCTAATTTAATTTCGAAAATTCAGGTCAATCTGATAAATTGACTCGATTCCAAAGTTAAAAATACATTTAATTGTTTGTTGATTATTTTTAATAAAAATAATAATTTTATCTTTTGGACTTAAAAATACTTCTAACACTTAGTTTACTATAAATTCTTGAGCATAGGTTTTGAGAATTTTATAGTAGCAAAAAAGGGTTTCTTTTACAGTTTTTCATTATAGATCTTTTCTTTTTTATGATTTAACTATCATTTAATTTGCTCTAAATTTTTTTGGGTATATAATAAGTTTTATCATTCTTAGTAAAAAATTAGACTTAGTTCCTATTATCCTCTATTTAGGAAATTTTTTGTGGTAAAGAAGTATCCGTAAAAGTTGGTTTTAGGTAATTGCTCGACCCACCAAAAAGATTTTTGCAGATTTTCCGAGCTCACCACCAAGTTAATTCGTTCCACTTAATCCCCTATTTCATGGCCACATATCTTTCCGGCTAAGTAATGGGAAACCTTTCTCCTCTTACATGAATACAATTTTCATTTCATCCGGGAAAATCCATCTTTTTCTAAACAATGTCTTTTTGAAAAACTTAAGATTGCTATATTCGGGCAACAACAATCTTTGGGGATCAATCCCTTCTGAATTGGGGCAAATGGAATCGCTCAACGAAATAGTACTTTATAGAAATAATCTATCTGGTGTGATCCCAGCCTCATTGAGAAAATTGACAGGTCTGACAATTTCCAACTCTATGAAAATAAACTTTCTGGCTCCATTCCTTAAGAGTTAGGAAACTTGAAACCTTTTGTCTTTCTAGAGTTGAGTCAAAACCAACTAAGCGGTTTTATTCCAGCTTCATTTGGTAACTTAAGCAACTTGAAAACTTTGTTCCTCCGAGACAACCAACTTTCAGGTCCCATACCTGGAGAAATAAGAAATTTCATGAATTTGTGGATGTTGGAACTTGATCAAAACCAATTCATTGGGAATTTGCCCCAAAACATTTGTAGAGGTGGATCACTGGAATACTTCATAGCAAATGACAACCATTTCATAGGTCCAACCCCTAAAGACATGAAAAATTGCAGCAGCTTAAAAAGAATAGGCCTGGAAAAGAATCGACTGACTGGAAATATATCCGAAGATTTTGGCATCTATCCTAGCTTGAATTTTATAAACCTAAGTGACAATGAATTTTATGGTGAAATTTCACCTACCTGGGCATTATGCAAAAATTTAGGCAGCCTATTGACTGCTAGGAACAATATCACTGGCAGAATACCACCTGAGATTGGAAACTCAACTCAGGTACATTTTCTAGATCTTTCTTTAAATCATTTAGTCGGGGAGATTCCGAAGGGATTGACAAAACCGACTCTTTTAACTAGGCTTATTTTGACTGGGAATCAACTCTCTGGTGGAATACCAAGGGAAGTAGGATTGTTTTCCAATCTTGAGTATCTAGACTTGTCTGCAAACAGATTGAGTCAGTCTATCCCTGAGAGTATAGGGGATATGTTGAAATTGCACTACTTGAATTTGAGTGTAACAACTTCAGCCAGAGAATTCCAGTTCAGATGGGCAAGTTATCTCAATTGACTGAATTAGACCTGAGTCATAACATGCTTTCAGGGGAGATACCAAGACAATTTGAATCTCTGCAGAGCTTGTCAACGTTGAATCTCTCTTATAATAACCTCTCTGGTAACATTACCATTTTCGATAAACTCCGAGGCTTGACATATATTGGACATAGCACATAATGGGTTGCAAGGTCCAATTCCTAATACCCCGGCATTTCAAAATGCTTCAATACAAGCATTAGAAGAAAACAAGGGTTTGCGTGGCAATGGTAGTGGCTTCAAACCTTGCAAGCTTTCTAAGAAAATCCACAAGTTACTCTACACAATCATGTTTCCTCTGTTAGGAGGAGTGACTGGCCTTTCACTTGCTGCAATGGCTTTGTTCATCGGCTTCAAAAGGCAGAAAAAGATGCAAATGAAGTAAGTCAAAGCAGTATGAATAATGAAAACCTCTTTGCAATATCGTCCTTTGATGGAAGATTACTGTATTCTGAGAACATATATAAGTGCAACCAACAGCTTTGATGCTCAGTGTTGCATTGGAAAGGGAGGATACGGAAGTGTATACAGGGTAGAGCTGTCATCAGGTGTTTTGGTCTCTGTGTTACCATCTTCATCTCTTGAAATTCAGCTTCTGGTGAACAATCTATCGTAATCTATCACGTCCCCCAAACTCGAATAGGACATAACAATACCGTATATTCATGAAACGAATCTTATAAGCAAGCAAGACAACAAATATTATACTAATCAAATTCCAAAATATCATACTAATTCAAAAGCAATCTCCAAAGGGTATTTGAAATTTATAATTTAAAAACCCAAGTGTCTGAAATTCACGTGTTACACTTGATCAAAAAATACAATAATATTCTGATTTTATTACATCAAGGTACTTAAATTACAAGCTATATAATGACAAATGATAGATGAAGTCTTGCAACATAATCTCTTATTAAAACTAAGCCCTAAAAGCATAAATGTCGAAATATGAAAAGTAAGAAAAATTAAAAGAATGAATATGACGACTCAACAAGTAACCGATAGAAGTATATCAAAAGCAACTAGATCGTTGTGTCACTGACCGAAACTTATCCTCCAGGCTTGTGCGGGTTCGGGACCCAGGTATAGACTTATTCGACATCCTAGATTAGTCTAACTGTCACAGTTCATACTCTTATGAGGTATTATCCGCTTTGGCTTCCTTTTGACCTCACAGTTTTGTCCTACAAAATGTGCCTCACAAGGAGAAGGTGGTGTGAACCCTTATATTCCATGATAAACTCTAGTACATAGTCAATGTGGGATTCTTGGCTCCTTTATAGGATCGTGATATCCTCCTCCACTCCAATGAGGGCTCATTATCCTCGACGGCACATCTTTAATACCCCCAGAGCTAGTTCTGATATCATTTATCACGGATCAAAACTCAACCTCCAAGATCATGTGGCTCTAAGACCCAAGCATGGACTTATCTAGCATCCTAGATTAGCTTAACTGTCATGATTCACACCATCGTGAGGTATTGTCTACTTTGGTCCCCCATTGCCCTCACGATTTTGTCCTACAAAAGATGTCTTATAAGGAGATGGTGGTATGAACCTTTATATCCTATGACCAACTCCAATACACAATCGATGTGGGATTTCTGGCTCCTCTTTAAGATCGTGATAGTTGCACTAACAATCATAATTAACTCATTAGTGTAAAGTGACAAAAAAAATTGCAGTAACCCTTTTAGTGCAATAAGATAAAAGTATATCATCGATGGCACGGTGAATAAAAATCACAATTCTTAATTGGTGGCATGATTCAAAATTGGTATCGACATCATAAAGTATATGTCGACATGATCAACAATTAACACTCATTGGTAGGGTTAGAATATAGTCATATTAAGAGACAAAAACCAAAATATATTTTTAGATTACCCAACATATACAAATTCAATATTTATAAATTTTCTCAAAACATAATCCATACAAAGTGAATTACATAATCATTTCAAAGCAATATTTCATATTCTGACAAACAATGGATATATAAATATATTATTAAGAAATGATATTCAAAAATCAAAATAATATCATACCATATTCCAAACTCATAACAAAGAAATCATATATACATTTCGCATATTCAACTCGATTTACAAAACAAATGGACAAAATAATATATATATTATATATTATCATAACAGTTTTTGGATCGCAAGACTTAAAGGAGTTTTAAAATCAAAAAAAATGGGAAAGAGTCGCCACTAATTTTTTTAGGATGTGATTGATCACCCAAAAGTTTATCTTTTTAACAAAACTATAAAAGCAAGTTTAAAGTTTATCAAAATGATAAATTTCAGTCTATGAAATCCAGGTTGGGTCTAAGAGTTGGTTGCATGTGAGGAAGGATTAGCACATCCATAATGCTCATAAATTAGTACCAATTAATTATGCATTATTTTTTATATTGGATGAAATAGTTTTAAATTTGAAATTTAATAATAATCCATTTCGTTTGAAAAAATAAAATTTTGCTAAAGCTCTTTATTTAGGAATATTGAGAAAATCTTTAAGTTAAAGAGTTATCTTTAAATTCTCGAACATCTAGGCAGAATTTAAACTCTTTTCACTTAAGATTTAACACAACAATCCTTAAAATAAAATAACACTCTTTATAGAAGATAATTGTTGGTAACTCTCCAACATCTAGGCAGAGTACCAAGAATTATTTTCTTCAAAATGTTATTTTTATTTTATTTTATAATATCACAAATAAAATGTATTGTCTATTTTTTCATCATAAAACATTCTATCATCAAGTAGTAAATAAAAATTAAAGACAAAAAAATACAAACAATTACTAATGATAATACGCTAACATATGTATGCCAATGAATGTTATGGAAGATGAAATGCAATTTTATGGTTAGGCTTTTAAATATAATGAGACAATCCCGACTCTCCAACATCTAGGTAGAGCTTAGGTGTGACTGTTTATATTTAAGATTCTATTTTATTATTATACTTTTTTATTTATTAATCCCACTATTAATGTGAACTAGGGATTCGTATGAAAAACTTAATGAAATAAAATTTTTTAAATACCCTATCATCTAGGAGGCATTCAAGAACAAATCATTTCATGTGAGATTTTTACACGTATCCCTAAAGTTTTGAAATAGATTTAGGTCGAGGTTTTAAGACTTGCATGATTTTTAAGGAGTGATTAGGGGGTGTATGCTAAATTTGGGGTTCAAACTCTTAAGGCTTGGGATTTTGGATTTTAGGGTTTTGAATTTTAGAGCTTAGATGTTTGGGGTTTTTATTTTAGGGTTTGGAGATTTGAGATTTTTATTTTAGGGTTTAGAGGGTTTAAAGTTTAATTTTTAGGGTTTGAAAGGTTTAGGGATTAGATTTTAGGGTTTTAATTTTAGGGTTTTGAAATTTAAGGTTTGGATTTTAAGGCTAAAGAAAACGCAAACATCTTTAAAAATCCTTAACATCTAGGCAAACTTTCAAAACAGTTCGATTTTTATGATTTTCAAGAAAATAAATTTTTCTTATGAAGAGTTAATATTAATTTACATAGTTTTAAAAAAAAATTTAAAAATAATTTCACAACATTTAGGCATAATTATCATTATTTAAAACATGATTGTATTCCTTCCAACATCTAAGCAGGAAAAAGTTTTTTTTTATTTATTATTTATTATTCTATCATTTTATGCATATTTTATTATTTTTATTTAATATTTGGATTATTAAAAAAACATTAAAAGAAATTAAAAGTTTTAAAAATTATTTGACTTTTTATTATTGCTATTGTCATTTAATTATTATTATTGTTAATTATTATTATAAAATAAAAAGTATTTATTTTAATAAACTCTAAAAGTTTTAAAGCATGCATAAATAACAATAATAATAATGTTAAAAATGATATAAATAAATAATATATAAAAAAAATTGAAAAAAAAAAATTTTTTTATCTGAACTGGACCGATCAACGATCTGGTCAATGCTGATTTGGTTGGATCAAAAAAAGGACGGTTTGACGAGTGGTTCGGTTGAACCGATTGAGTAGCGGTTCGACGCGCGATTCAATTGAATCGGTTCAAGGTTAGTTGAAGCAGTGGGTCAGCGGGCCAATTGCTCGGATCTCGGGTCGGGTTACGGGCATGAATGGATCCTCCCTATGCCCAAAACGGCGTCATTTTGCTTTTTTGTTTTTCTATATAAAGTTAGTTTTTTTTTTAGCTCATTTGACCTTTCCTCCAAAAAACAAAAAAGTTACAGCTTCAAAAAATCCTCTCTAGCTTTGCTAGAAATCGACACAGTGTCGTTGCGCCGGCTGCCTTCTAAGATCACTGTCGCTGGTTACCAGTGGTCGTCGTCGTGAGCGAAAAATGTCAAAATTCACCAAGAGATTCCTTTCGACCTTTTGAGTTCAGATTCGTCGTCCTTTTCACAAGAAATGGCTCTGATCGACGTAGATCAAAGTTTGAAGTTCCTGAGCTCTCCGACCTTCTTTTTTTTTTTTGAAAGCCCACTCTAACTATCTTTTGGCGTTGATGGTTCCTTGCCTAAGTGGTGAAGACTATGTGATTTTTTTTGTTTCAAGTTTTTTTGGTTTTTATTATTATTATTTTTTACGTTTTCTAGTGAGTGCAATGTTTGAGTTTTTGGGTATGTGATAGTCTAAAGTTTCTGGATATGGGGGGAGCAGTGTTTGGAGTTTATGGGGATGTGTCCAAGAGCTCCCTTGGGTGCGTGTGAGCTTATTGTTTAAAATGCTGGGTGTCGAGGAAACAGGGAGTGATGATGGAGCTACAGTGCTTCAGTGAGAGGACTGGACTGGGGTTGGCATGATGGTTATGGCAGGGGGTGCGGGCGGCCAATAGTGCCATGCACAACACCCACTTTCACTAGCCTCTACCTTTTTGTTTCTTCTTCTGTTTGAATTTTTCTATTTGTCTCTTCTCTTTTTTTATTTTTATTTTTAAATTTTTTTAACTAATTAATTTTTTAATTTTAATTAAACCAATATTATTATTATTATTAAAATTATTATTATTAATATTAAACAAGAATTGAAAATGGTAAGCCCGAACAAAATTCGGTGTCTACATATATTTCAACTCTAAATATATTAAGGTTGATTTTTAGGAATATAAAAATCAAAAGGATGTCAAATCACTTACTTAATGCACTAAATCAAAACTTAAGTAACGAATCACTTAATTCTCTTTATATCTTAACAATTCAAGAAATATTAAAAAGTTAAAATTTAACTTAAAAACATAAATTTAACAAGACAAACCTTTCGCGGGCTATCATAAGCAAATTGGATTATGTGGCAACATTCATGACTAATTGAAACTATTTGAAAGTATTTTTAGCACATTAAAATAAATTTTCTTTTAATATAACAAAGTGCCTTAAATTGAGTATAAATATAAAATTAAGGATTAAAACATAAAAATCAATAGCAATATAAAATTTTACAACTATTTAATTTTTAACATTTAATAGTAATCATTTTTGTAAGTTTAAATCTAATTTAATTGTCCTTTAACAATACTACTAATATAGAATTAACACAGTTAAAATATATTAAAATAAGTAAAATTTATTAAAATAATATAACTAAAATTCAAATAATTTATAATTAAATATGTCAAATATTGGCTAGAAATCATTTTTAAAATAATTAAAGACAATTTTTTAAGTTCTGAAATTTTTGCATTATGTGACTATCTGGCTTAATTTGAACTACAAAATCTCTAACATCCCTAAATTCTTAGTGACAAAGGAAAGTAGTAATTTAAAGTAGGAATGTAATATTAAAACTTAGAATTTCGTTTCGGCAAAAATGATATCCAAAAGCCTAAGTTTCAAATGTTAAAATTTTGTAAATTATCACAAACAATTCAAATTTTTCTGGGTTTCACATTCATAAAGCTTAATTTGGGATTTCGATTCTCTTAGCCTATAAATCAGAAGTTGCAGAGCCTGTTGATGTTAAATCTTTCTTACAACGATCTGTCTGGTGAAATTCCAGCCTCTTTTCAGCAGCTCCGAGGCTTGTCCTCCGTTGACATATCATACAATGAGTTGCAGGGTCCCATTCCCAACTGCCAAGCATTTCAAAATGCTTCAATAGAAGCATTACGAGGGAACAAAGGTTTGTGTGGCAATGTTAGCGGATTGCCACCCTGCACACCTTTTTCTAGGAAGGGCCACAACGCCAAGATCATCTTTGCAATTATATTCCCTCTATCGGCAGTTGCTTCTCTCCCGATTTCATCAATTGCTTTGTTGTTCATCTTCAAAAAAAGGAAGAAAGATGCGGACGAAGAAAGACAAAGCAGTGTGAATGATGAAATTTTTTTGTCAACATCTTCCTTCAATGGAAGAATACTATATGAAGAGATCATTAGAGCTACCAAAGATTTCGATGCTCAATATTGTATTGGAAATGGAGGATATGGAAATGTATACAAAGCGGAGCTGTCATCAGGTGATATTGTAGCTGTGAAGAAATTGCATCCATTGCATAGTGGTGAAACGGCAGATCAAAAGCAATTCCTGAATGAGGTAAGGGCATTGATAGAAACACGACATCGAAATATTGTGAAGTTCTATGGTTTTTGTTCATTTGCAAAACGCTCCTTCTTGGCTTACAAGTACCTTGTAAGGGGTAGTTTGGCTTCTGTTCTAAGCAACGATGAAGAAGCTAAGAAATTGGACTGGAATAAGAGGGTGAATATCATAAAAGGTGTTGTTCACGCCCTCTCTTATTTGCACCATGACCGTTCACCACCGATTGTTCATCGGGACATAACGAGCAGCAACATTTTGCTTGATCTAGAGTTTGAAGCTCATGTTTCAGACTTTGGCACTGCGAAGCTTCTCAATCCAGACTCATCCAATTGGACTAATATTGCTGGAACATACGGATATCTTGCACCTGGTGATTTCACTATAGCTCCATAGTTGACACAACATATAGCATGATGTTTGTTGTTCTTAACTTTTTTTATTTTTCCTTTGCAGAGCTTTCCCACACAATGAAAGTTACTGAAAAATGCGATGTGTATAGTTTCGGAGTGCTGGCATTGGAAGTGATAGTGGGGGCATATCCGAGGGATTTCCTCTCTAATCTATCAGTTCTATCTCCTGGACTGCAGCTTCTGCTAAACAATATGCTGGATCAAAGGCTTTCACCTCCACCGCCAGAAGTTGAGAGCAAACTCGTAATCATCCTGAAGGTGGCTGTTTCATGTTTGGATAACAATCCAAAATGTAGGCCAACCATGTACACTGTTTCTCAGCTGTTGTCCGACCGAATCTAGTCCTAGCTAGGATCATTTTATCTACATCTAAGGGGCCACCTTAAAAATGTTTGGTATTGCTTTAATGTTGTTTCTTCAGTTTTTGTGTTCTATCATAGGTAAAAGGATTAACATTTTTGAACCCTTAAATAATTAGTTTTTGTTGAGAATTGAGATAGTCATAAACATCTTATTTGTGCAATGGAAGTAGTTTCAGATATTTGTCTGCGACTCTGTATTATTAATTTAATTCTAATAATTGAGTAAGAAGAAAATAATGCCACCATGTCCTTACTAATAGAGATGTCTTATTTATATGCACAGAATTCTTATTAATTTTAGAAATAATCTCCTACGATATTGTAATTGTATTATAGTCTTAAATATTATTCTAATTACAATATCATAATTTTTAACATTACATTGAATTATATAATTACATAAAACTATATTAACAAGTTTTGAAGCTTCTATCTTATAAGAATGCATTCGATTTACATAAAATCTCATTCAATTAGTATAGGAACACGTTTTAATGAATTTACTTAGGTGATTTAGCTAGATTCTATTAAGAAGAAAGAACATCTGAGGTAGTTGTTTACCTATCATGTCAGTTTTTAAATTCTAACAAGCACAAAATACAAACAGAAGCAAGGGATAGAAAGGCAATGGTTACTATGAAGTGATAAGTGAAAATTGGGCATACTATATTATCCTATGAACTTTGTTTAGAAATTGATTAATATAAATACAAACTTTACATTTTATTAAAAATGTCAAACCCATTTTAAAAAATTATTTAATACATCTTTTATGTTGTTTTTAAATGAAAATTATTATAATTATATATTTAAAAATTAATAAATTATATTATTAATATAATAAGAAGCATGATCTTTGATCCCATTCATAAAATTTTAAAACTTTAGAACGATTTATAATTAAATATTTAATTTATAAAATTCGGTTTTATACACTAATAATAAATTTTTTAGAAATACTAGCAGAGTGGTTATCAAACAAAATGTATTCTAGTATCTCCCAGCAATTTATTAATGGGACCCACGTGGGTCCCAATTATTGGCCACTTTTGACCTTCTTGAACCGACGACGATGTACACTGGCACGTAGCATCCTTTGAGAATATTGACGTGGCAAAAGAGGAAATAGGCGCCGCATATCCCGACATTTATTAACCTTGTCCTTAAATTGCTACCATCTTCCCGTTTTCGATTCCAAACAGACACGGGAAAGAAAGGGTACCCGCGACAGTTCCATCTGTATCTGAAGATTGCGAACAACTAAGAAAAGCCTTATCCGGTCTCTCCTCTTTCGATCTATATCATTTTCTTCTTTCTCCTATGTAGTCATTGCTCTCTTATATTAATCTAACTCTATTGATTTTTATCTTCTCATTGGATCAAACTTTACGCTATGATCTATGATGATTAACCTTTTCTGGGTTGATTTTGGAATTGAAAATGGTTATCATTATTATACCAAAAAGCTTTTTTTTTTTTTTGAGTTGATCTTGGGAAGATCTGCCAAGATCTGTGAAGATTGTGTTGAAAACGACGGTGATCATCAAATGATAATAACCTCATATTGGTTAAACGAGTTGCTTGATCGTTGAAGACTGATGATCGGTTTTAGTTTATACTATGGCGTATTAGTTGATCTATATATCTGACCTTTAATTTGTTCTGGTATACCCTGCATTAGTCTTTTGATGTGCAAAAATGGACAAATATATGCCATTGCTAATGATCAGTTTGACCTATAAAGATCAAAGATAAAAAGAGTTGAAAACTGAATCAGGATTATATGGCTATTGTTATTGTAATCTACGTGTAAATAAGGAATTTGTGAAAAATGGGTGTTTGGATTTTTACTTCATTGAGTTGTTATTTAACAAACAAATTTAAACGGGCAGAGTTTTGATCGTAAACTTTTAAATGTCTTTTTACGAGGCAGTTTCGCCATGCCTGGATGTAAAGCTATTTTGATTGATGTTTATTGCAGGATGGGGAACTAATGAGGGCTTAATCATAGATATATTGGGTCACAGAAATGCTGACCAACGCAAGTTGATTCGACAAACTTATGCTGAAGCCTATGGAGAAGATCTCCTCAAGGTACTGGACAAGTAGCTCTCAAATGATTTTCAGGTCAGTTATCAAAAGCACGTACTTTGTTCACTGGTAGACATTATTGTATATACTTATTTTATTGACTGAATAGTGAATAACGGAAGTTGCTTTCCAAGTTCTTACTTACCAGAGGCTGGTACTACTTTGGACTCTTCATCCTCCCGAACGCGATGCACTTTTGGCTAATGAAGTAACCAAAAGGTGGACTTCAAGCAATCAGGTCCTTATGGAAATAGCCTGCACAAGATCTGCGAACCAACTACTTCATGCAAGCAGGCTTATCATGCTCATTATAAGAAATCGCTTGAAGAGGATGTTGCTCAGCACACAACTGGTGATTTCCAAAAGGTGCATCTGTTAGACTGTTAGCACTGAGATAGAACATCCATTCTTTGAAACATACGCTATTCAGGAAACTTTTATGCTTAAGTACAACAGATTTCTGTCAGACCTCTATTTTTTTTTTTCCATTCTCCAAACATTACTATGTCTATAAATTTTTTTTTCTTCCTTTTACCTGAAGGAGACACTGGGGAAACTTATGAAATAAGATTTGGCTTATATGGTTTAGTAAATTGTTACTGCTTCCTTTATGACAGTGAGGAAAAATAATTTTTGTAAACAAGAACATCTTGTTTGTTCAACTCCATTTCTACATGGATCAGAACGGACAGTCACTCCATGGTCTGTCACAATCAAACGGAAGCAGCTTTAATAGAAAAAATAACACATAGGAATGCTTAAGTTATTTATAAAAATTCTCAAGGGAGTTTTGTGGTCTCTCTCCTTGTTTATTATATTGGTTGGTCAATGAAGCTTTTATTGTTTGTTTTCTGTTGTGAATGACCGCTAAATTTCTGTGCTCTTCCTTCCAGCTTCTCCTACCTCTTGTGAGCTCATACAGATACGAGGGAGCTGATGTGAACATTAGTCTGGCAAAATCAGAGGCCAAGTTACTCCATGAGAAAATTTCACACAAAGCCTACAATGATGATGATCTTATCAGAGTTTTGGCTACAAGAAGCAAGGCACAGATCAATGCAACTCTGAATCACTACAAAAACGAATATGGAAATGATATAAACAAGGCATACAAAGTTGGATTGTGATTGTACTTCTTGTGCTTATAACCCCCTTCTGCCTCTACTTAAGACTTTGTTATCTTTTGCATATGGCATTTCAAAGCATCTTTACCTTTCTAACAAAAGCCAATTGCTTCTGAAGAAATTTTCTTCTTAATCATCTGAATATTCGTCATGGTGACCAAAAGGGTATAGATCATCAGACAAATCAATTTAAGTTTGTAAATTAATCAATCCAATAAAGCATCGGAGGTTTTCTGTTGTGTGTTGCATAATTTTCATTCGGTAAGTTAGCTCTCCAGCTCAAGGTACTAACTCCCCTCCCCCCAATTCACGCTTCTTCACCCATCTTTTGTCTGTCTTTTCACAGAATCAATATTGTAGGCTACACGAACATAGGCTTTAGGTTATCTATGACCCCCAGAATTGGCTATTTCATACGCTTGACATATTCAATCCCTCTGATAGAGTTTCTTTGGTCTTTGACTCTCCTATCTTTAGGACTTGAAGGTTGACCCTAAGGATGAGTTCCTTGCACTACTGAGGGCCACAGTGAAGTGCATGGTCCTCCCGGAAAAGTATTTTGAGAAGGTACTTCGACTGGCAATAAATAGACGAGGAACAGATGAAGGAGCTCTGACAGAGTTATTACCACTAGGGCTGAGTTTGATCTAAAGATCATAGCAGATGAGTACCAGCGACGGAACAGTGTACCACTGGATCGTGCTATTGCCAAGGACACTCATCGAGACTATGAAAAAACGCTTCTTACACTTGCAGGTCATGTGGAGGCTTGAGCTGTTATCATTATATGATTTTCCATGGTCTTGTCGAGCTATGATGCTATCCTGTTTTCCTCTGTGGCACTGTCAGTCTTATGAGAATATCTATGTTAAATAAAACTTTATGGAGTTTGTTTTAGGCTTGATGAATCCTCTGCATGGTTGTTGATCCTGTCATATATCAAGCAGAAGCAGGTTCCGGTCAGCTTTAGTTCTTTATTTTTTAACTTAACCCTGAATAATGCAATAACGCTGTTGATTAGTTGCTTGAGATCATCAGTCAACAAATATGATGCTTGCTGATCTTTCAGATCCATTCTCCAAATTGTATTAATAAATGTGAATGATCAAACGTTTAACCTTCACAAACATGTCTGTGCCCCTAGTTTAGGCTTAAAGGCCTAAAAGTGAGATAGAAAAAGTCATTTTTTCTAATAAGTGAAAAGAAAATCCATCCTGGCTTCATTTATTTCCCTTGAAACATGGGCTGGTCATGGTAATTATTGGTATCTTTAACCGTTCCTAATTGCGGATTCATATCAAATGCTCAGTTGCCAAAGAAATTTAATTTTTCATCAGCATATCTGTTTTCTCAAAGAATTTTTCCAAGTATTTGACTTCTATATGCAATCAAGTTCCCATAAAAGAAGCTATTTAAGTATCTTCATATTCAAAATGAAGAAAAGACGCGACCTAGAAGGAAATTTTCTAAGCAGAAACTCAAGTCTTAAACGTGATAAAATATCATACATCCAAAGTTTGGATCGACAAGACAACAACAAGAGAACAGAATAATACAAGTTGCAACAGCATAATAAACAACTAGAAGCAAAACTTTCTTCTACATCCTTAGGACTCTCGAAGGTGATCCACTGATCTGAAGCTGGTAAGCCTTCCACCAAGACAGCAGCACCAGAGTTTCATGTACATTTATCTCTAGTAATCCAGGGACGTGACTACTTATTTGGGGTGAACAGCTAGCAACTTTGGAAGCACAACAACACTGG